CCTTTAAGGTACCAGTTGACCCTCCCTGCCTCTTCCTAAAAGCATATCTTTAGGCCACTTTATTGTGAAGACAGAGCTAACTCAGTTACTTTCAGAATTTTCTGTCTGCCTATAAATCCTACCAGCTTTTCACCTGCTAGGACAATGATTCTCCCACAGTGAGTGAATAACAAGGTTTCTTGACACACAGTGTAACTTGGCACGTTATTTCTTGGCCTTGGGTTTGTGGCAATTACGCAAAGTCTTTCCCTTCCACTCCATCCAGAAAGATGGTTCACTCACCCACCATGTATGTGGAATCCTTTCATCTCCTCTTTTCTGTTCCCCGGTGACTTCCCCACTGGCTGGTAGGAATCCAGCCCCTGAATTCTCAAAATCCAGGACCATAATTAATACTTGGTAACATGCCAGTTCCTGCCCCGGCTGAAAGTTAGGAGGAAGAAGAAAATGTTGGTCGTGGGCAAAGCAGTGGCTTCTGCCAACCCATACTCCAGGTGTGTTCAGGGTAAGCCTGGGATGGCACTGGGAGTTGGTGTCAGTCCCAAACCCAGCTTTCCTTCTTTTGCAATTCCCATAACATGGATCAGGGAAGCTGACCCTTTTAGAGCTTTCAATGGTAACCAACAGCAGGCTCCTGCTCTGCTAAGGCCGACCACTGACATAGACAGCATAGTTGAGCCTACAGGATCACTCCACCACTCCCCTCCTCTTACCTGAACATGGGCAGTACCCCAAGGCCAACCCTTGAAACTTGCCCTAAAATTTAATACCTGGAGCTAGAGATAAGAAAAATAAAGACCCCTGAGCTTGCCCTGGAAGCTTCCAAAATCCCAAACATGGACTCACGTGCCAGATGTGCTGGCATGACCAGCACATGCCTGTCTGCATTTGGAGCTCATTAAAGGCTCACACATACGGGCTACATCTCCTACATCCAATCACAACAGAGGGAACTGTGGGAAAGGCCATGCCAAACAGACACAGCTGTCATCCTTGTCCCGAATGAAGCAGTCGTGAGAGGATCAGGGAGAACTCCGAGATGACAAGAAGGAAGCCTTCAGAGTAAGGCCTGGAAAGTCCTGGGCAAGCACCTTTGGGAAAACCTCTCTGTATTTAGCCAGAGATAGAAAGGGTAAGCAAAAAGTGTGTTTTTGAGTCACTTATAATGTATCAGGGTTGAAGTTTTAGTGTCAGAGCACTTGCATAGCATTGTGAAGCCTTAAATTTGATCCCCAGCACCTCAAAACAAAATTAAAAAGAAAAGAATTTCAGGGTGATTAATTCTAGGTTGGATTTGGGGTTGGCAATGGAATTCCAACCAATCTCCCACAATGTCCTTGGGCGGCTCTAACAAGTGGGCCAGCAGCACTGGCATCACCTGGCAATGTATCAGAAATGCAAGTCTCCTGGTCCCAACCTGACCTATAGACAGACTCCAAAAGTGAGGGTGCAGCCCACGCAGGCATCTGTCTCCTCCAGTCCTTGGGGGATCCTGAACTTCAAGTCTGTTTGGCCCCATGGGGGTTGCTTGCTGAGCAGGGCCTGAGGGTGTGACTAGCAAGCAAAGCCAATCTACCTAGGCAGACAGGAAGTGCCTTTCCTAGACACTGCGCATCTCCTGCACACCAGACTCTGTCTGGAACAAAGAGGACAGGATAGAAAGTCACTCACTTTGTTCTTGAAGAGGTTGGGCAGTGACACTTAAGCACACAAGCACAACTCAGGAGAACTGTCTTAATTGTCTAGGCTGCCGTGATGGGAAACCACAGACTGGATGGCTTATCAACAAAACAAATACATTTTGTACAGTCTGGGTGGCTGGCAAGTCTAAGATCAATAGAGTGGTAAATTTAATGCCCAAACTCCCCAGGCTCCACCAAAACCAGATGCGTATCATTAACCCATTTGCTACTACTAAATATTACTGGTAGGCTGTTACTCCCTTTCCCGAAACTGCTTACACAGCCATAGTTAAAAAACATCATTTATCTTTAGTTATTGCATTCCATAGCTCCAGGAAGCTCTGGAGATAAGCGTACAGTCAGTCCAGACTAGCTGAGATCAACCCACGATGCACAACATGGCAAACACGCTCAGCAGCCATAGCAATCTTCTTTCATCACTTTGCAGGGCTTGTGACTCAGAAGTGGGGAAACTAGAGCAAGTTACAAGCAGCCACGTGTGGCTCTGAAGTGAGAACAGGTAACATGGCCAAGAGGCATCGGCACTTCGTCAACTGATTTGTACTCATGTGAGGTTGTCTTCTGTGGGATTCACAAAATGCCTGTGAACCCCAGTAAGCACACCAGCGCTACTTGGTGATATGCAGGATTGCATTCCAGTGCTTTGGTGCCGGACAAGGAAGAATGTTATCCTTTATGCTAGGTCACGGAGATCCAGGGAATGGAGCCATCTATATTTTCAGTACGTGGTTCTATAGTACTTGCAGTTTCCTAAGACTGGTCTATGCCTGGGACAGCAAGATCCTACGGGTGACACAACAGCAGGACAGAAAGCTTGACTCTCTAATTCAAGCTCTGCCCTCAGGTTTCCGATGCTCCCCTTGGACTTAAAAGGAGGGAGAAACCTCCAGGCACTGAATTATTTATGAAGTCTCTTTTTTGACCATCTGGCTTTTCCCTATACAACAGAAAAGGGGCACATAGTTTTGAGATAATTTTATAATGTGTGTGTGTGTGTGTGTGTGTGTTTGTGTGTAAAGAGCAGAAAGCAAGGAAAACGGATGCTACAGGTCAGCAAGTTGCAGTGATTTTTATGGTAGGCCAAAGCAGTTTGTTTTTTTTAACTCAGTAGGCATCCACGCAAACTAGAAGGTAGGCCACATGCCCCTGCGCTCTTTGGGAAGCAGGGGGACAGAACCGAAATGTCCGTGTTGGTGTAGTAGCTGACTCTAGCAGACATGCTTTCCCCACCGCAACGCAGAAGGCTCAGTTCCCTTTTCTCAGTAGCACCCACTCACTGCTTGGTGCGGGTCTGTGCTGACGACAGGCTTCCCCAGCCTGAGAGGAAGCAGAGCTGGCCCAGCACGGACTGGACAGGTGATGAGAAGAAAGCGTGGGGTGGGAGAGCGCAGGTTTTGAACCCTGCTGTCACCACCGGTTACGTCACCAGGAAGGAGTTATCCAAACTCTCGGAGCGCGTCTCTTCACTGTAACATGGAGAGTATACCGAAAGTATGTGTCTCAAAGAGTATTGTAAGACCTGAACGAAATCATGCTTGTGAAGGGCTCACCACAAAGCCTCGTATGGAGCCAGCTCTTAAGAACCTGGGCTGCTCTGAGCAGCGTGGTTTCCTTGCTACCTGGTGACACAACGCTGAACTTTGCCCTGAGACGTAAGAACCCCCCCTTTTCCCCCAACAGAGAGGATACGCACATGGTAGTGTTGGTTACAGTGTTTGTGGAAGTGCTATCTGTAGATCTCAATGGATTTCTGTCTAGTGTGTAGGGTGGGAAAAGCCCTCCCAGAAGGCTAAGAAAGGCCGGTGCCTGGGAAAACTTTTACTCTAGGGACTACTGCCACCTTGTGGTAATTTTTCATACTTGCAGGCAAAATTAAGCATCTGGAAGTCCATTGGAAATATTCAAAACAGCACAAGGAGCTCCGCCCTTTCCGTTATGAGTTAAGGTGCTCCGTAGCCTTCACGTTCATCTGGAGAAGTTCCTTCTTACATTTCCTTTGCAAGCTCCTGGTACCTTGTGATCCTCCACTAACAAGTTCTGAAAGTGTTCTGGCTTTTACTAAACATCCCTTGGATGCCTCTCTCATGTTCAAAAGAAAATGCAATTATATGGATACAACGGTGGCAAGAAATACGAGGATATCTGGAATGGAGGCCCAGGCACCAGTATTTAAAAAACAACAACAACAAAACTTTCTAACCCTAAAATATGTACAGTGAAACCAGGGCTGGAACCACCACAGCTGGTCAGTGCTGTGCAAGCTTACTGTATATTGGAGTCACCTAAGAAGATTCAGAACCTGTTGATGCCCGGGCCTGGCCCAGACCAATGGAATACAAATTTCAAAGCTCTCCTGGGAATTTAACACGGAGCCAGAATTGAGACCAATTTAGAATTACCTCTAATTTACATCTCTTGACAGTCAAAATATTGGGAGGGGTGGAGCTAGACAGGGTCTTGCTATGTAATTCAGGATGGCCTTGGATTCACTATGTAGCGCCAGCTGGCCTCACCCTTGTGATTCTCCTGCCTCAGCGTCCGGACTGCTTCCATTACAGGCATGAACCACCACGCCCGGCATGATAGTCAAACTATCACCACACAGAGGCACGGGGTACTCACTGAGCGAACAGAAGACACTCAGTCGAGAGAGAAGGTGATGGTAGAGAAAGAATTGGGGGTGGGTCCAAAGCAAAATGTGTACACCCAGGGGTCTGCTTGCTTCCTTACACAGCCCAGTGGACCAGACACGTTTTCCCTAGGTATGTGCAAACTGGGAGGGAGGGCGCTGGGGCATGGAGTTTGGATGAAGGTTTCATGACTGCGGCCCCAAGCTAGATTCAGTTGCTGTGGCTTTAGCAACATGCTTCATCTTTCAGTGTTTCAAGCCAAGGCCCAAACAAGGGTAGCTCTGCCTGGGAATGTCCAAAGCCTCCCCCTGGTGTTCCAGCCTACAAGGGAAAGCAAGCTGCGGGGCAGGTGGCACAGCCCTCCAGGAAGTCTGTGTTACTCATCCAGGATACAGAATAAAAGCCAGGGGGACAGGAGGACCCTAACCCTGAATTCTGACGGTGGGGTTTCTATACATGAAACTGGACACACTGCACTGGTCTGTCTGGACTCTTTCTCTACATGCTCATTTTGTGCTGACTCCTCTAGGAAAAACTGTGATCCTGTAGGTAAAACAAGCATTCCAACAGCGCCCTTCCCTGGACTTCCTGAGTGGTGGGATCAGCTTTGTCACATTTGACTTGGGCCTGGGCTGGAGTTCTCGAACCTTCAGCGGACACTGTGTGCAGAGGGTTGCCATGGTGACACCATCCCCCTCTTCCATGCAAAGAATACTGTGTGACATCACTTTCTTTTGCGATTCATTCTCACAGCAGTGGGGCCATCCTATGTCCACTGAATCTTGGCTTCAGCCTCCTCTTCTTAGCAGACAGGTAATCATTTTCTTTTGCAGATCTCTCACGGAAGACCCTTGTCATTTAGTAAGTGAGAGAAGTATTTCTGAGCCCTGTAGTATATGACAATGGCGGGGAACCCCTCCCGCCATTTGATGCTGCTTTTCCCAACAAAGTACCTTGTCTTCTGGCTGGTACCAAGGCAGTGAAGAGATGCGGCAGTTACTCTTCGCTGCGGGTGCTTTAACTGTCATCCGTCACGTTCCAGGTGAGGGGTCCAAGTCCCAGAGACGCTATGCCTCGACATTCACTACTTTTCCTTTTCTTGTCTTTCACACAAAGATGTGAATGGATAGTTATTCCCTTGTGATTTTCTTTGAACTAATGGAAATATTTCTTTCTGTAATTTTCCACTGAGCATTTCCATGCCACGGGTGACCGTGGGTAACTGAAACCATTGCAAAGCCAGACAGTCCACAGAGGACTTCGTTGTTTTGGTTGCAGTGCAGTTTGCTGCAGTGTTCTTTGGACCCACTGGGGTGGCATGAGTGCCACGGAGGCTCTGTCCAGTATGATTCTGTGTCTCCAGACACTGCTCCAAGCCCACCTTAGCCATTTGCCAAACTGTGAGGAGCAGCCCAGGAGAATTCTCCAGAAAGATGATGCAGTCCTCCACAGCCATCCCCTGGCAGGACACCAGGTCATTCGTGAGGCAGGAGGAGTGGGGGCACTACTGAGTCTGGGAAGATCTCCTTGCCTCGGCCTCTGAGACAGCCCTTAACCCCACTCCCACACTCCAGCCCTACTATCCCCAAAAAAAACTTTTTTCCCATAAGCTAGTTAAGCAGAAGATGGAGGGAACTTTGATCCCCAGAGAGTCATCTTGCCGAGAAGATGATTCAGAGGCAGTTTACACAGAACATGGGTGATTCAGATTAGTGGCTGCTTTCTAACAAGTAGAAGCTTAAAGCCAAATGACGTACATCTTATCTTAATTGCCTGGTCACAAGATGTTTTCCAGTATTGCAAATCTCAAGATCAAAGATCACTATTTCTTCAGGCTATCCTTAACGATGATTAGTTTGCTGATAGGCAGTGGACAGGCTACAGGGGGTAGCTGCTCCAAGGCCCTCTTGATCACCAAACTCACTGGACTGGAAATGTACTTCACTTGATTTTTGTGAGAGACAAGGGTCACATGAAGTTTCTAGGGAGTTAGGCACAAGATCGAGTGTCAGCACTGGGCTTCAAAAAAATTATGTTATTGAATCCAAACTTGTTGCTATCACTCCATACAATAAAAACCTTTTCCATGGTCAAATGAATCCATTGGTCTTGCCCTGAAATGGAAGTCTGAACATATACAGATATGAATTCTTTCTCATTTTCTTCCGCTGCTTAGTGGATTAGAGAGGCCTCCCTCAAGAATCTAAGTGAAATCTGACTCACGAAGATCCACAAAGTGGTAAACTGATGTGCTCAACAAACACACAAAAGCTCCCAATAAATAATCCAACGCTGCAGAGTTGTGTGTATTTGCAGACTATAAATCTTGAATCTGTTCCCGTTTTTTGTTTGTTTTTGTTTTTCTGTTCTTGGTACATCACATACATTAGGCAAGCCCTCTAACATCGAACTACAATGCCAGCCCAGTTTTCAAACATAAGTGAAATACCCAGACTTACTCATTTCTTAGACTCCGGACCAGTGATTCTCAAAGTGATATCCCTGGGCCAACAAGAGCAGCACCTCTAAGAAATGAGTTAGAAAATTCTTGGGCTGCTTTCCAGAACTGCTGTACGGAACTGGAAATTCAAGGAATGGCCCTGATCTGAGGGGTGTGGAGCCCTCCAATTTGAGAGCCAGTGCTCCTCAGAGGTGCACTGATGCTGCCAGCCAGAGGCCATTGCAGAGACAAAATGTTCTATGAAGGAGTAGGCAGGAAAATAAAAGTTAGGTTTGTGATTTTTATTCCAGTTGTTTGGAATTCACCATCTGTGCATTTAGGATTTGGAAAGCCATTTCATCAAAGTTAATAGACATTGAAATCACTATTTCTTGGTAGAATAAAACAGTCCATACTTGTATAAACTTCCTTCTTCCTTTCAGGGGAAGAATCTGAGTGTATGGGAAACATTTAGAAACTGCCACTGTGGCATTTCCAGGTATTTCCTGAGACCCTGTTCTTTCCTTTGACATCTTTGTAAATGTTTAAAATCTTTTGAATTCTCCCTTTCACGTCCCGATTTGGCCAGGCATGGTGGTGCATCCCTGTAATCCCACCACTTAGGAGGCTGAGGCAGGAGGATTGCTGCAAGTCTGAGGCCAGCACAGCCTGCACAGTGAGTTCAAGGACACTTGTATCAAAGTGAGAACTTGCCCCAAAAACAAAACAAAAAATTCCATTTGTCATTTTTTTCTCTATGCCCCTACCAGCCCAACTGTGAATTTTGTGTGGATTCTATGCATGGAGGGATATAGTTGGATATAGTCACCAACCTCTCACGGCCCAGGAATCCCATAATTAAAATGAGCAATGCCCCAAAATAAACTCCTCCAGGGCCTGGGATTTAGCTCAGTGGTTCCATCGCCTGCCTTGCAAGTGCAAGGTCCCAGTTGGATCCCCAGTTACCAAGAAAAAACAAAAAGATATCTAAATAACCTCCTCCGTAATGATAGCCTCTTTGTCACCAACAAAAAACTAGAAAGATGACCCTAGGGTTTACAGGCCCCGTCCCCTCTTCTTCCTGCTGTCACAGATCAACTACCCTTTGCCCAGTGGAAGTTTAATATCTCAACAGGGGAGATTTTTTTTTTTTTGGTTAATGCTTATTTTATAAGAATCCCAAAAGGATAACTTTTATTTGACTGTCCTAGTCGCCATGTCCCATTTCCTGTGCCAGTTCAGGAGCCTTGCTTTCCGAAGCTTGACCTCCTAGCACGCCTGGCCGCCAAATCCCCGTTCTACGCACCTTGACTCACCTGGCTGTGCCCGAGGCCCACAGATCCAGGACTCTGAATGCACAATCACAGGTCCACTGCTTCTGCTCCTGGTGGGCACCTCAGGGAAGGCAAGCTTTCTTCATTAGCAGGTGAACTGGAGCCTACACGTTGTGAAGGATTCCTTTTATTTTAAGGCTGTGTGGCTTCCTTGTGCACTTTTGCCAAACTTTTACTCTCGTTCCTTTATTTCCCCACTCTTCTAAACCCCACCCACATTTTTTCCCCTAAATCTTCACTCTGGTAAAATTATTGTATAAAACTTCAAGTGTATAATTCAATGACTTTGAGTATATTTAGAATCGTGAGGCCATTGCCACAGTTTAACACATTTCCATCACCCTATTCTGGTTCCTTTTTGGCAACAGCAGGGACACCTGGGACATCTTCTTTTGCCATCTCCTGGGAGAGATGAGCCTGGAGATAGTTCATCCGAAGGAAGAGATTTCTTTGCTGTTCCTACCAGAACCCAACTCTTCCTCTAGACTTGGGCTGCTTTCACTGCCTTGGCCTTAACCCTTAAGGGCACCTTCCTGGAGCACACAGTGGGAGGACAGGTTGAAGCTCATCCTGGCCTCTAATGGGTTAACCCAACTCTGCATGTGAAGTTGCCTGTTGTGTGTCTGGGGGAGGCTGGTCAGAATTGCTGCCATCTAGGAGACATGTAGCACCAACAAACTAACCTTCTAGAGCTTATTTGCTCACATGTGAAATAGGAATCAAAACAGTACACTCCATGGGACTGCGGTAAGAAACGAATACACAGGTCCCTCAGTTCCGTGGGAAATTGGTTGAAGGACTCCACGGGGGTACCAAAGTCTATGGATGCTCAAAACCTTTCTATAACATGGTGCAGTGCTTACATAGAAACAATGCATTCCTTTACATCAGCCTTAGATCATTTATAATATCTGAGCAGGTGTCACGTAAATATTTGTTATATTGCATTGTTCAGGAAATGACAGGATAAGTCTATATGTGTTCCATTTTGCTCCTTGCAGACCTGTCTTTTTTTCCGAATATTTCCATGTAGAACTCAAGGAGGGCTGACTGTATCGTGTTCATGGAAAGTCCAGAAGGTACCAGCCACATTCCCAGCAGTTTATAAAGGATATCCACGATCTCTAATCACCTTTTCACAGGACTGTCACTGCCCTCTCACCATCTAGAGAGTAAGTGGAAAACACCGCCCAGGACACAGTGCCACTGGAAGGCCCCAGACACTCAGAGCAAGAAGATATGGTTGGAAATCCTGGGGAGAAAGCGGCTGGAGAGTCACAAGTGGCGGGAGAGAGAGAAGCAGCCTGAATGAAAGTCTAAGAAGGGCAGGGGCAGGAGGAAGAGCAGAAAACTAAGGGATGAGGGCCCAGTGAGCGGCAGGAGCAGGGTAGGTCTCCCAAGATGGAGACTGAGCACGAGTCAGAGACATGGGCAGGCAAGACCTGAAGAAGAAGCTTCTGACAAACCTGTGCTTTTATGTGCTCTTTAAAATCTGCAATTCTCTGTTCTTCGTAGGGATGAGCCAAGCACAGATGTAACAATGAAGACTGCGGTTACAGAGCACAGGCAAGGCTTGACTTTAGGGTTTGTCCAAAACCTGCTTTGGCTCTACCTGGGTCCTGAGTCCTGCTGGAGGCTTCTCGGGCCTAGCGAGGCCTAACTGCAGCAGCTGGAGACAGCACCGCCAAGGGGACATTTGGGAACAGCCTGGTCCAGCGATGTCCCTCAGGGAGGACCGCTCCCCTCGTTCCCTAGATGAGGAAGCAGATGGTGCCACAGGGAGGGGAGGCCAAGGGCCCTGGCACTGCTGCTCGTGGTTTGGGTATCTGACCCCCCGCCCCCAATGCAGACAAGTAGCCATCCTTTATACAAACGCAACACACACTGGGTTTTAATGAGAAAATAACTGTATACTTGCATTGAATGCCTCACAATCACTATAAAACCGAAGCAGGATAATAACATTTAAGTGGTTAACATACACAGGGAAGCCAGATACAGAGCATAATTTCCAAACACAGTATTGCTCCTTTTTCCCCCTGCTCCAATAAGAAAGAAATCTTCTAGGTAAAGAGCAACACAAAATCAAAATTGGCAGCTCACTGAATGCTTAAAATTCAGGAAATTGGTTCTGTAACTGAAATTGGATATATTCACCATCTCTAACACTTATGCTATTTTTTTTTTCAATACATAGTTTAAATCCATTCTGTAGCTGGAAAAAAATGTTTAAGAGTCAACACTGTTTTAGTGTTGTTATGCTTTATATATGAATGTGTGTGCATGCATATACACACACACACACACACACACACACACACACTGATCTATATACTGCTTCTATGTCATTGCCAAGGTGGGCAGCATGCATGGGAATAAAGAGGCAAGGAAATTGCATTGTGCCATCCAAGTAGGACACAGCCCAGCCTCCTGCCACTGACAGACCCTGTTTCCATAATTTCCGGATGAGAAAGCCAAGGCCATGTCAGCAGTACAGGGGCTCCAGAGGAAAGTGAATGATACAAACACTGCAGCACGGAATACTTTTGGGAAGGCTTTAACATCTACAGGATCTAAATGTCTGCTGTAGTGGAGACTAACAAGCTTGCAGGCTATTGGAGGGCGGGGCTGAACCTCAGAGGCAAAGTCACACAATAAACCTCTCAGTCCCTGCGGATTAGGAGGGAAGGACTTTCCTCGTCTTCAGGAAGCTACAGGGGTTCGCGTGGGGTCCTAATGCCTAGCACAGTGCAATGTCCAAAGCGGTGTGGCCCCCGTATGCCTTGAATGAGTAAAAACCTCAAGAGACAGAGAAAATCTGGCTCTCCCAAGGGGACTGTGATTTCCATTTCATAGGAACAGAATGGGAGTATCAGTGAGTAGAGCATGGAATTAAGACAGCAGTCATTTGGAAGGGAGATTAGGGAAAATGCAAAAGTTGGAAATGTAGAACGGCTTTCTGACTGGGGGAAGAGTCACAGAAATCTTATGTGTTTTTTTCTCATCTATCCATGGAACAGGGCCTGGAAGGACCCTAGCCCTGTAACTCTGTTACCCTTTAAGTAACATGTGCTTCTGATTCAATCAAAGTCTGCTTCCTCTGTCTCCAAAGGGACTCCATGAAATGTGCGGCTTCCTAAGCTTTCCTTTCTGCTGCCAATTCGCTTCTCAACTGTAGCTTTCATGTGGGTATAAGGTTCCCTTCCAAAGAGGGCAGAAAGGGGTGAGTCACGAGACTCTTTTCCTCTTGTGGGAGATGGGGGAGGTATCCTATCTACATCGTGTCTGCAGTCTCCAGCCAATCCACGGGTCTGTCCAGAAAACAGGAAGCACACTGTACTTTTTGTGCATCCCAAAACACTCTCCAGCTCTCCAGCCATCCTCGTCCCAGTGCTTGGGCCTACGCAGCGCCTTCTCTGTTCTTACCGTGTCTCCCCCCTTTGAACACCAGCCATCACCGTGACCTCAGCCTGGACCTGGGACCTCCAGCTGGAAATCCTCAGACAAACGTCCTTCTTCCATCATTGTACTTAGAGTGCCCGCCACTTCTCTGTGAATAAATTTTCCCCCCAAAGTTAACACTAGTCTAATAGAAAGACAAACATAATGTTTATAACACTACATATAAATTCTGTGGAATTACTACTTATTAGAATAACATATTAGAGCTTATGACATAATAGGATGAAAACAAATCTGAATTTTAGTGAGGTCTGGTTTAATTATTGCTTTTGTTAAAAAACCAGTTTTAAAACAGGAAAAATAATGAAGGCTGGTTAGTTGTTTTTGTTTTGTTTTGTTTTCTCATGGCCTGAAATTGAACATTTTCTCATCCAGAAATGTAGGGCTCCCAGTTAGTGAATGCCCTTAACATATTGCTTTAAATGACAGAGAGTAAAGCTAGTGTCTCCTACAGCATACTAAGCATGAATACAAAGTATGAGAATAAACGGGGTACATTCCTACATGTCAAATTACAAAACTGCTTAACACTGCAATTGGGACTCATGCAAATACCACGTTAGGGCAATTTCATATTACAAATACTGATGCTTCTGATTCAATCAAAGTCTGCTTCCTCTGTCTCCAAAGGGACTCCATGAAATGTGCGGCTTCCTAAGCTTTCCTTTCTGCTGCCAATTCGCTTCTCAACTGTAGCTTTCATGTGGGTATAAGGTTCCCTTCCAAAGAGGGCAGAAAGGGGTGAGTCACGAGACTCTTTTCCTCTTGTGGGAGATGGGGGAGGTATCCTATCTACATCGTGTCTGCAGTCTCCAGCCAATCCACGGGTCTGTCCAGAAAACAGGAAGCACACTGTACTTTTTGTGCATCCCAAAACACTCTCCAGCTCTCCAGCCATCCTCGTCCCAGTGCTTGGGCCTACGCAGCGCCTTCTCTGTTCTTACCGTGTCTCCCCCCTTTGAACACCAGCCATCACCGTGACCTCAGCCTGGACCTGGGACCTCCAGCTGGAAATCCTCAGACAAACGTCCTTCTTCCATCATTGTACTTAGAGTGCCCGCCACTTCTCTGTGAATAAATTTTCCCCCCAAAGTTAACACTAGTCTAATAGAAAGACAAACATAATGTTTATAACACTACATATAAATTCTGTGGAATTACTACTTATTAGAATAACATATTAGAGCTTATGACATAATAGGATGAAAACAAATCTGAATTTTAGTGAGGTCTGGTTTAATTATTGCTTTTGTTAAAAAACCAGTTTTAAAACAGGAAAAATAATGAAGGCTGGTTAGTTGTTTTTGTTTTGTTTTGTTTTCTCATGGCCTGAAATTGAACATTTTCTCATCCAGAAATGTAGGGCTCCCAGTTAGTGAATGCCCTTAACATATTGCTTTAAATGACAGAGAGTAAAGCTAGTGTCTCCTACAGCATACTAAGCATGAATACAAAGTATGAGAATAAACGGGGTACATTCCTACATGTCAAATTACAAAACTGCTTAACACTGCAATTGGGACTCATGCAAATACCACGTTAGGGCAATTTCATATTACAAATACTGAATCAGCTCGGAGCCTGTATATCCCTTTTCATAAAAAAGAAATTCTCACTCACTCCTGAAGCTGGCAAACAGCTTTGGAGGAAATAACTGTACACCCAGGTGCCACCATCAATCCAGAAATTTAACCACACACACACACACACACACACACACACACACACACACACGAACTTGCACACCCACACCCTTGTGAACATACACTCTTTACAGAAGAGCACAAAGGTGTACACCAACACACCCCATCTTTAGGATTTGTAGCTGATTCCAAGCCTGAACTTAAATTTCTGTAATATTCTCTTTATCATCCTGAAAAACACTGGTTGCTCAGCAAAAATAATCTCTCTTACTTCCTTATTTCCCCACTCTTTCCCCTCCCTCCCTTTTTCTTTCTCTGCCTTCCAGACTTTAACATGTCCTTTCTGGTTGATTCAAAACAACCTATCCTTCTCCCTATTACCTCTAAGGCCCATTTTATAATACAAAATAGTTATGAACACCTTTGTATTTCTTATCGCCTACCTCTCTAAGGCAGCACTTGCCCTTTTTTCAATTATTGCCACTCTAAAAATACCCCTACCATCTTGAACAAAGCTGTTCAATGTGTAGACTTTACCCATGTTTATGTACCCCTACCCCATCATAAAAATAGTTGTTGCCCACTAAATATAGTTTTCATATGAAGAAACATAATTGTGAAAATGTGTTCTCCTAAACTGCAGATCAGTCAATAGTATAAGCAGACAAGACCCTAAAGCTAAAATAATCCATTTGGTTTGGCTTTCTTCCCCCATCTTTCTCAACCTCCTAGAGCAGAATAGATTGCATCTGCCATGTGAAGAAATATTGTCTTTAAAATATGGGTTTCGTGTATTGCAATCGTTGATTGTTCCCAATTAAAAATAAGTAAGAGAAACTGAATCACAGCTGTCTCTTTTGGACAACTATGGAGGGAAACATCACTGATTTTATGGCTGCTGGGAAAAAAAATGTAGTCTACCGACACCTCTGATATCATGAGCAAGGAATGGGAAGCCGTCTCAGAGAAATGCTCTAGGTGGTGTACACTACACAGCCTGTGGCTCTCGGAATGGCTGAATGGCTCGATCACTGCTGTGTTTCCCCACCAGCCACCAAGGCTGGTCCCGGCTCTGCCTACAGCGATTGTGTTGATTTGCTTGAATTGTCTTTGCTCTTATGGATCAACTGTCGACTAATCCAAATCCAGAGGCATCTTTGAGTCCCACAGAAATCCTTTCTCTTAAAACTCCTGGGTCTCAGAGTTTGATGGGCGGACATTCTTTTCACTTTATTTTTCAGCATTGTGTACTGCAGCTTCTGGTCTACATTAGGATTGCTGAGTTTGTATGCACTTTAATAAATAGTCCATTAAAATGCTTTGATTAGAGAATTTCCTGGTTTCTTGGTATCCCAAGCACCGCAGAAGTTTCCTAGGCCAAAGGAAACTTATTCATTGTCTTCTTCCTCCTGGTTGGCGTAGATCCCTGCCTCCCAGCGCAAGGCCAGTGCGCTCTTTCTTCGGTTTACTCGTGTGGCCTCAAGGACCTGAAGAGAGAGAGAGGGTGGAAAAATTATGCAGAGTTCATGGATGTTAATTATGTACACAACCAACTTCTTCTGTTTCTTTTTTTTTTTTTCTTCCCCCTTCTTCTACAGCACCTACATAAGAGGAAAGTAAGGAACCTTCTAGCACTACTAAGGGTGGAGAGCTGAGCAGGAACGACAAGAAAAAAGAGCAGTGGGAGACCCTGGGTATGCATTTATTTCAAAGCCCACATTCATTCCCTGTTTGGCTCCTAGTTTTCAATGTAGAAGTGTTTTGTTTCTGTGTTGCATTACTGGGGATTGCATCCCCAGCCCTTTCTTTATGTTTTATTTTGTGTCAGGGTCTCTCTAAGTTTCCCAGTCTGGGCTCAAATTTGTAATCCTCTGACTTCAGGCTTCCAGCGCTCTGAGATTTCAGGCATGCTCCACCATGTCCAACTGAGAGATTTAATTCTTGCAAAGTATTCTCCACGCTTCTCCAAACTAGACTTGGCTCTGTATCAAGTTGGTTTCCTCCTACCCAGGGGTGGTGCTGATATGGCCCATACTTTGTGCATGGTGCACAAGTGCTCAGGTGAAGGAGACTGCTACACACGATCCAATCCTGTGCGGAGTGATGATGAAACTGCTCTGTCCGTACCATCCACTCTGCAGTCACTGTGCACAGGTGGCTACTGAACACTTGAACCAGGGCCATATGGCTGAGAAACTTAAGTATTTAATTTTTAACTTGGTTAAGTTTATTTAAATAGCCTCATTTGGCTAGTGACTGTAATATTGACAAGCATAACTACAGATCCTCTTAGTCTCTTCCTAAACAGATCAAGTAGTAATTATTAACTACTGGACCAGTGTGGATTCAATCTGCTGAGTTTTGTGCATCTGCATATGCTATGATTTTTATATAACAAAAGTCTACTTTGGCACAGTTAAGTACAAAGTCATTAAGTGGGGAAAAAAAGCTTTTCAGGTCAATAAAAAGGAATCTCACATTTTGATGTAACTTCAGGGCCATGTGTATGAAAAGTAAAGCCTAGAACACAAAGGAAAAGTAGGCTCTAGGTGGGGGCTTCCCTTCTGTTCCCTAAAATGATCTGTAGACCCCTAAGAGGAGATTTAGCTCATCCATTCCAGCTTTAGTTTGATTAAGATGAGATCCAGATGAACGACATGTAGGTGGCCAACACATGAAAAGTGGTCGTAGGTCATGACACTAGCAAAAGCAAGCCTGTGTGTGCCAGCCAAGTACTCCGGCATTAGCTTAGCATGTAGCATTTCTGATTTTAAAGAAAAGTCCACTACAGCCAGCCCAGCTTGATTTTCTAAACTGTAATATAAAGACTTTGCTTAGTCTAAAAATACTTATTTCGGCAAGGGTCAGTGATACTGGCCGCTCCGGGGGAGCAGGGAGAGTTGAGGTCACAGCAGAGTTGAGAGAACAGAAGTAAGAGATGTGCAGAGGACTGGGATTCCATCATCCTACTTCCTTGTGCCTTTGTCAAGTGAATGGACTATGGAGAGCCTCAGTGTGCTGTCCGCCTCAGTGGGGACAGCCGGACCTGAACTGGAAGGCACACCAGCTCATATCTGCTGAACAAGTAATGGAGTATTAGGCAACTAAGTCATGTCATCAGGTGGCCTGCAAATCATCAGCACACTGTGGTCATTCAATGTCTAAGCATAACACATTAGTCAGAAATCCGTATAGTTAAATGAAGGCGTTTTCTGGCTGGTGGGTGGTAGCATGGAACTGAGGAACAGCGCTGGGCGGTACTTGTAAGGGCTTTGCATTTTGTTTTTTATTGGCTTTTGTTTGTTTGCTCCTCTGTCTATTTTGAGAGAAGGTCTCACTGTGTCACCCAGGCTGGCCTTGACCTCATGATCCTCCTGCCTCCTCCCGAGTGCTAGGATTACAGGCACTCGGTTCCTATTTTCAATTTTGTCCCTTCTTATCTATCTTGTATTTCAAGTTTCTTTATCAACAAAGAACTACCCTACTGCCCTACTTTAAATGCTTCTTCGGGGGTGGTATGGACTCTGGTGTAAAGGCAGATTTAAATTTAAATCCTAGTGACTACGTGACCTTGGAAAAGTCACCTGTTGCCTTAGCGGCCGCATGTAAAACAAAAACAATAGCACAGGGTTGGCCTGAGGAGTAAAAGAGGTGATATATGTAGAGTATTGAGTATCGTTCCAAATGCACAGTGCATTTTTAATTATTTATATCATCATGTGAAAGGATTTATATAAACCATGTACTGGAATACAAATGAGGGATTTTTAGAGTAAGTCTACATTGCATAAAATGGTCATTGGTTTGCCTTTTAGACTGTATATACAAATTGAAAGCTTTCTATGAAAGCTGAAAATACATGTACTCTTCTGAAAAAATAGTAGATATCTTTTTCAAATATATTCCTTGGCTTATTATTTAAATCCTGTTTTAATGCTCAGCCAAGTTTGTGCTGCTTTTCAGGAGGTGGTGTTACAATCCACGTGTCTGTCCATCTTACAAATGCTTACTGGGTCCCTACCAAATGTCAGGCCTACTGTTCCATGTTGCAGAGAGAAAAGTCCCTTTCCTCATGGGGCTTAGTTACAAAGTGTCTCATGGGCTGAAAAACAGTATTTAGAACTATGGAAACATTTAGCATTAGCTTGGATTTGAATACCTACTAGTCAAGAGCCCAAATAATTCACTCATTATACCAATATTGAGCTCTCTTAGCTCATTCCCACTCATTTGCATGGTCACTTATGATCCTGAATTTCTGATGATATATAAAGTCCCCTCATAATGGCATAGATAAGAAAATAAATGAATCTCTACTGAAACAGCTGTAACCATGGTAACCAACGTTTGTTTATACCTTCTAAACAAAAATTAATAATCAAGTCAAATCTGTAGTTAAGTATGATTATTTTGCTAAATAATGAAATATATTTAAAATACATATTATGCTATAGGTTGGTACAATCAAATTTGAAGAATCAATAGTCACTGGCTATAACAACGTAAAGCCCTATACCCAACTTTGTTCTAAAAACCTGATCTACAGGTGAGTAAAGAATCATATACAAGAATATTCACGGAAACATTTGCACAACAAACAATAATGACGATGAAAAAACATGGAAACAACTTATGTTTCCATCAATAGGAGAGTGAATAATCACATAGTCATTCAGTGAACTACTACATACCAATACAATAAATTCACTAGAGCCACAGATATTAATAGCAGCACATCTCAAAACAATGCAGACAGGAAAAAGAACAGAGGATACTACAATATGACTTACCAATAAATGGTAAATGGTTTCAAAACATGCAAAAATGTAAAATGTCATTTCTGTGTGCTTGAATATATGGTACAAAAACATGCATGGAAATGAACACCAAATTCAAAAACAGTGACCTCTCAGAGGAGGAAGAATTGTGTGAGAAAGACAGAGACGTGCAAGCTGGGAGAAGTAACGAGAGGGCTTAAACTGCATGTGCAACATTAACTTCTTTGGAAAATATTCAACAAATATTGTTCTAAGAATGGGCAAAGAGCCAGGGATTTAGTTCATTGGTGCCATTGCCTCCCTCGCAAGTGCAAGGTCGTAAGTTTGATCCCTGATACCCGCCCCCCAAAAAAAGAATGGGCAAAGCTGGCAAGGTGGGTTTTATTGCATAGTACAGTTAGTATAGTATAATATAGTATATAGTATCAGAAATATCACAAACCAGCTCCAGGACATTTGTTTTGTTGACTGCTGTATTGTTGGAACCTAGAACAGTGCCTGACACACTACAGAGTTCGATGAAGCACTAGCTGTTTACTTTGAATAATTATTTTAAAATAAAAACAAAACTGCATAGAAATAAAAATACAAAAATAATGTGCTTTCTCACAGCACACATATTTGTGAAACCCGTGTAAAAGGAAGTTATAGGGGGAGGTAGGAAGCTTTCGGGGCACCATTGCTTAAGAAAGCTTCCAGAACAAAAATACAGGTTTCAAGACTAGAGGGAGGGGAGACTCCAATGCTTTGCATTTGGAATAATTCATCCTAAACCCATAGAATGGAGCTCTCTGGATCTGTGTTAAGGTAGCAAAGGACTGGTCAGAGTCAATAGCTCAGTCTGCAGGTGCCACAGTGTTCTCTAACCAGCCACGAGTATCTGTGTGATCACCATGCGAGGACCTGAAGGATTCCCCGCAGCCCGTTGCTGTGGCCTCTAGTTCAAACGTCTTCCAGATCCGTGTACGGGCAAAGCCTTCTCCACTCCTACCTCACCAAACACAGCAACGCGTCTCATTGCTGGGGGGCTCCAGCATCCTGCCGCCCCCCAGTTCAGAAATGCTGGGATGAAATCCACTCGGAGACAAGCCGTTCTCCTGGCCATTCTGTTAACAAATCAGGCAATGGCAGCCGTGACAGCATGCACCTGGATCAAGCATGCATTCAGACCAAGACAAACAAGTTGAAAAGTACCTCGGAAGTCACCTTGCAAGACAGTAACTTAGAGGTGTACTGGCAGAGAGGGAAAAGACTAGGGTTAGTACACAGCAGGCACACTCACACAACACCCCCAGCTGGGAACCAGCCCAGCGCAGGCGTGGGCAGGAGGGGAAGGCACCACAGGAGACCCTCGCACACCCACACCAAGACTTGCTTCATCTGATATTTATTTAAAAGTTTGTATCTCTTAGAGTAAGTAGATACCCTGTTATTCGTGAAGAAAAATATCAGATAAGCCGTACTTTGTTAATTCAAGATGTTGCTTTCATTTTCTGTGCTTTGAATTAACAAGATTACTTCCCCTCTGGGTAGCACCAGCTGCCCACAGCAAGGTTCTTGGCAGCCTTTTTGGATGTGCTGAACTCTCCAGACAGATAGCTTTTCCTCTTTCTGTGGGCCTCTGAAATGTAAGACAGTACTGCAGCCCATTGTGACCTTAAGGCAGACTGTAATCACAGACGGGAGTTGGGCTGGGCACAAGGTCTGCGGAGACAGATGTTCTGAACCTGACCTGAGAAGGACACTCTGCCGAGGGCGGCCACACAGACTCCACGTCAGAACCTGGGGTGTCTGACAACATCTCCAGGAGCAGGGTGGTCTGCTGATGATTGTGTAGGATGAGTTCCTACGAAAGCCAAGTCGGTCACAGGTAAAGGACAGAAGAACGTGGCCTGACTATGGGAAATGAAGGCAGGACCAAAGTGCGGTGGCTGCCTCCAGAACTACTATTGCTAACTCTGCATTTAGACTGCTTATGGTGGCTGAGGCACTGCTTGGTTGTGGGCACTTGTCACAGAATGGTTAGGCAGCTCACACATCTGTGATGTCGACTACTTCTTCTGTAGCACTTAAAACGCATAGTTCTGCAGTAGATCCGGCTAATAGCGGGGGGATGGTGACATTGGGGTGCTCCTCTCCTTTGCACCTCATCCCCATGGCGTGAGTGTGAACCCAAGAGAGAACTGGCAACTCAAAGCATTGCTGATTGTGGCAGAGCTCTCGGAAGAGCCTGGAGAGGACAGGGGCCTCAGAGGGCATATGCCTTCATTTACCCACCTAGAACACATCACAGGTCTCAGTGTGTGTCCTCATTCCTAGGGGAATGTGAGCCAGGGATTCTCTTGGTCATTAGGTGCTAGAAAGAGGGGAGAGGAGAGGAAGGAGGGGAAAGGAGGGAAAATGGGGGAGAGGGAGGAGAGGAAGAGGGGGAGGAGGGAGGGAGGAGAGGAAGGGGGAGGGGGAGAGAGAGACCTTCTCAGAGTAGATCCAAAGGCAGAACTAGGGAAGAAGGGGCTGAGGACACGGGAGGCTACGATTTGGATTCAGTCCAGCATTCCTTCAACTGAGGAAGGGGAAACAACCTACCAGATTTAAAAGCATCACTGACACAGTGACCGAAGGCTCAGGTCAGGTTGGGGGAACAACCGGCCAGAAGAATACTGTGTACCTAAACACCAGCATGCAACTCATAATGGACTAATGAATCAGAGTTTCCTATAGGGCTTTTTGGAGTCTTGAGGAAAACAATCCAAGTAGCCCATCATTTGGGCTCTCTCTAGCCCAAATGTCTTCTAGATCTAGCATGGGCAAGGTCTTCTCCAACTCTAGCTTCAGGGCAATTCTTTGCAGGACATCGAAAAGACCTGTAGGGAATTATGACTCATCAGTCTGTTACGAGTTGTGACTGAACAGAGATGATATTAGACCTAGATAAGGGGCATTCCCACATAACATTTTTAAAAAAGAAAAACCCACCATAAAAGTTGGGTTACTGTGTCTATGCAGTGCACATAAGCACCAGGTAATGGGATGAATGGTGCTCTCGCCCAGGGCCCCTTTCCACTTGCCAGCTGTGAGGCTGGTGCGGGCCTACATCCTCCCAGAGAATGAAGGTACCTTTTGCTAATTCATACAGAGGTTCTATTACGGCCGGTAATTAGCAAGGGTGGAGAAAGAAACTGTCCTTCCTCAAAAATTGGCCAAGGACTTCATTAATAAGTGGGCGGGAGCCTTGAGCAGGGAGACACGTGGTGAGCACGCAGAACAAGGACTTGGGTTCAGGGGAGAGAAGACTTTGATCACTGAAGGGAGCACCGTGTTCAAGTTCTGAGCCAGTGATAAGTATGGTGGGCGCGGGGAGCAGGTGTGACTTTTTGAAAAATACTCCTTATCGTTGACCTTTTCTCACCAACTGGAACGCGAGTTGACCATCCACAGGTGGCTATAATATCATCGATGTAGTGATTCCGGGGTAGACATTCCAAGAGACTTGTGGTTTCATTTTCTATCCTCTGTCATTTGCCGAGCCCTTCAGGAACTACCTTGTCTCCAGCAGGAGAGAAGGGCAGTGCAGGATGTGACAGAGACCACCCGATGCTGCCCAGCTTCCCTCTCACCATCCCCTGGCCAGGATTTCCGGAGCCAGGGGCCTCCTGGTCTGGCTTGCATATGGTTTTTCATAAAGTGAGGAAATTGCAGAGAGCAGGACCCTGAGCTGTGGACAGGACTCCAAAGACCATCAGTGGCTGGGTGTAGTTTGGGCGTGAGGCGCTCAAGCTGATGTAATGGTGAGGATGAACTTTTTTTTAGCTCTTTTGGCACAAGTTTCTCAGCAAAACCAAGCATGGCTTCACACGGGGTCTTTCCCTTCTTCTGTCCTACACACTCACAATTTATCATTGCCTAATGCATCGCACTATTTACACATCCCAGTTACCTGTTTCTTACTCTGCCTTCTACTTGGGAAGCACAGCACACAATAATTCTTTTCATTCAACTTATAAGACTTGGGCTTTCCATAGGCAAAGGTTCTGATCCCAGGGAAGAACCCACAGGAGTCACAGGTGTGGTTTCTAATCTCCGAAGAAGCATGCCAAAGAGCTGCCTGGGGCCTTATTGGAAGGAGTGGAGGTATGTGAGGTATCCACGGTGACAGGCTGGGGAACCAGCCTGGCCATTCTGATACTCTCAGAGAGGCTGGAGCATCTAAGAAGGCACACGATGCCCTGAGGTAGTGTTTGTGAATGCAGCCAGGAGAGCAGAATCACTTTACTTTTAGCACAATTACCTTTAGCTTCTAGGGATAAGAATAGTGAAGCCAGTTATACAAATCTTTTATATAAGGGAAAATTAAAGAAAAATAGAGAAGGGGCCACAGAAAAGCTAGGGGTAAAAAGGAAGTTTGTTCATCCCTACAGGTGAACTTCAATACACTTTTCCAGTGACTGACATGGATAGAACAGAAAAGATCCCCTCTGCTAGAAAGACGAGGGGACAAGCTGGGTGGCTCCGAAATCAAATCTGGCTGATGATCACAGAATTGCTTTAGAAGTGACTGAGTTTATTTTTTGAGGTTTATGTCCTTAAAAAAGGAGATAGTGGATCTAGTAGGTTGATTGAATAGTTTTTGTCCTATTCCTAAGAATTTATCTATTTGTTTGTTTATTTATTTATTTTGCAATACTGAGGATTGAACCTGGGGCCTTCACAGTGAGCTACTTTCTGAGTCCTTTTCTCATTTTTTATTTTGAGGCAGTGAGTGTCTCACCAACTTACTAGGCTACCTGGTCTGGGCTTGCACTTGGCAGTCTTCCTGCCTCAGCCTAGCAGAGCGCTGGGGTCACATGTGTATGTCTCTTGAGAGTTTTCAATAACACACTCGATTCTATTTACTGTAATGTCAGTAACACTTCAAAACACTTGGCCTTAAATCCAAGACCTAGAGAGAGTAACAGCTTGATTAGTAGGCTTCTACCTTATCTAAAATGCCTATTGTTTCAGATAAATTAGAGACAGGAAGTTACCTCTTCACAGTTATTCAAATACTGATCCGCATAGCTTCATTTATGCAAAGGGGAAATCCAACCTGTTTGACATTTAGGGGGCAACCCTTATCAGAGCCCAGATGTGCGAGGCTTCCAGTCCTTTGCCCATGAAATGACTAAGAGCTGGCTCTTCTCTTCTGCGTGCTGTATTTTCCCCCCTCATATCTGCATTCCACCACAAAAGGCATACACAAGAGACACAGAGTGTGCTCAGGATACACTCATAGGGTCACTGCTTAGGGGTCCTGGCTTGTTCCTTCCCCTCCATGGCAAAATGAGAAGAATCCACTCTGCTACCTTCCAGCAAAGCTGTGAAGGCATCAACGGGAGAAAAGAAAGTGTACACTCACAGCACTGCACTTCAGAATGGCCACCGGCAACCAACAGTACCTAAAGGTGAGCTCTACATCAAAATTGGGGCTACAGCGTCAGGCTAGCTAAAGTGACTCAGTGGGTAGGAAATGTCCTACAGATTGGGAAATAGCTGCTGGCACCCTACCATTGCTGCCCAGAGGAAACATCTACAGTCACCGAAGAGGGCCAGGCTCCATTCTACTAAGAAATACAGAGAACCAACCGGAATCCCTCCAGCCTCACATAGCAGCCACACCAGCGCTCTGTGCAGGCTGGGATAAATGCAGGGACAGCTGGGAAATACCCAGTGAGTGGGCAGACTGCTCTTCGTGCTTTCTATCTTTCTTTCTTTCTTTACTACCACAATATTGTAAAAGCAAATTGCCATATCTGGCTTAGACTCTAGAGACCCATTGCTTATCCAGCCAGGATATGAAAGGCAGTAAGTCAGCATGATCCTACCAAGAAGTGCTCGAGTTTAAAGTAACTGGAGAGTTTATCAACCAAACCAGGAAACATTTAAGATGAAGAGGGAGGCTATTCATAATTACAGCAGGACAATGGGCCTAAACCAGGACCTGTCCTGATAAACGGGTCAGTTTCCCAATCCAAGCTACTTGTGTCTTGAGTGTAACTGGGGGAAGGCAGTGACTACTTTCATGAATGCTCTGAGTCTGATGCCAGAGGCTCTAGGGTGTTGGCAAGAAACCCTGAGGCTGATCTCAGGTTCCTGGGCCCAAGCAGAGTAACCCCGAAGTCTCTTACTGGACAAGGAAACCACAGAGCACATGACTGCCTTCCTCGTGCATGCAAATGCCACATGAGAAGTTTTGGGGTCTAGGGGTAGCCATGTGCATTCTGACTGTCATTCCAGATGACTTTTTCCTGCCAAACTACACACATTGGGTTTGGAAACAGCCCAAAACACACTGTGTAACATTTATAAAGACTGCCACAGAGTAGATTTTGAAGGAGCAGCATTTCTTGGTTCTCTAGAGACATGCAGTCTCTACAGAGCAAGCCAAGCAGCTCCTGGGTGTCAGAGGAAGCTTTCAGAGTGGCTGCCCTCGCATGGAGTCTTTCTATGCACCGAACTTCTTATGGACCAGCCTTGCCACTGGGCTCGAGCTCTACTAGACAGCAAGCAGAAGGACCAGCTCACCGCATGGACAAAATTGTGGAGAAATGAGGCAGAAACCCAAATCCAATGCCAGGCACATTAAATCACACATTTGAGCATTGGTTTTGAACCCATGATGCCAGCCAGACAACCACATACGCATCCGTCTCTGAACTAGAATACCACTAGCCACACAGCCGGACAGTCACCTTCAGAGAATTGAAAGGAAAGGAGGAAAAACTTACACTACTATCATCCATTCTCTCGCGCCTCTTAGATTTGTGTGTCTCATAGTCTTCCAGGAGGGTCTGCATCAGATTCTTGGGCCGCTGGGTTCCGGCAGCCTCTTCGGGGGCTAAGTCAGGCTGTGATCTGGGGCCTTCAGTTGTGGGGGATGGAGGAGGTTTGATTTTCTCTATTTTCCCTGAAACAACACGAAGAGAACACCCTTTCTAAGCTCATCTGCTCATGACTGCTTTTGGAAAGAAGAGAAAACTGACGCGGGGGTGGGAGGGGCAACTTCTGTCATCAAAAGTCGTTCCAGAATGATGAGTAAGCGTAGACTATTTCATTACAGGAAACAAAGCCCTTAAGGAGAGTGCAGCCATCCAACAAAGACCTCAAAGACTGGGTTCCAAAAAGTCAGTTAGATCAAACGGGCCTGGCAGCCACTCTGCACACATGCATCAGATAGACAGTAGCTCCGGTCATCTTGGGAACGCATATTCTATCACAGATCAGAGCATTCAACCGTCCGAGGAGGTAGCACCTTGGAGCCTGCGAGACTCACTTCTTATAGATGAGACAACCTGAGGTTCTGCAAAGAGAAATCTGTGCTGAGTTTAAGTCGCCAGAGCCAGGGGTGGTACCCGGCCTTCCTAGCCTCCTATGTCCTCTGTCACAGGAGGCCCCTGTCAGCTGACCTGCCAGGCCTTCTGCATGGACAACACAGTATTGCAAAACCTTTGAATAAGAATGAGGTGTGTTTTTCCCAGGTCACCCAGTCTTACATGCACAGACTTCATTCATTTTCCTTACCTGCTAGAGTCCTGAAGGCATCTGGGTTTGAGGTCTCCCCAGACTTTAAGAAACAAATACCAACAGAGCCAGTAGAAAGGTGTGTGTGGGATGCAAGGCAGCATGAGTTTAGCTCTTGAGATGCCCTTTGGGAATTCTTAGGAGGAGGAGGAGGAGGAGGAGATGAAGCCAATGGTTACTTAGTGATCAGGGGATTCTGGACACGACCTCTAAGTCCACCCACATCCTTCACTTCTGGGCAATGCCTGGCTCTGGCTTTTCGGGCCCGTCAAGAAGAGGTGGGTTTTAGTACCACAGAGACCCAAATGCACCTCTGAGAAAATGCAACAGTAATGGTTTTTCTAAGTACACCCTTTGTGAAGGACATAGCTGGAATCTGCAACGAGCAATGTGGGGAAAACACACAAAATAAATGAATCCATTCGAGTGCAGAAGTTTGGACGCTTCCACAGAGGTTACAGTTCCACTTGATCCCTTTTGGTCCCAAACTGAAGGCAACTCACATTTCTGGTCTTATATCCCAGACTACTCACTTGGCCTCTGCCTGACACAGCCGGAATCACAAGCGTAGCCAGGGGCCAGTGCTTCTGTGTGGACGGCTGTAACCTTTTATTGGGTACAAGCTCATTCTGCCGGGAGCTGGAAAGCCTGGTTTTTAATTCCTGCTCTTCTGTTAACTAGCAGTAGATCATCCTTTTAATATGTCATGTTAATCTTCGACTGGTCAAACATATTCTCCAAGCTTTAACTTCCATAAGAGTTTTGGAAAGAGTTGTTTCTGTGTTTAAATATTTTGCCATTCTTTTTTTTTTTTTGAGACACAGTTTCACTGTGTAGTAGTTCAGGCTGGCCTTGAACTTAATGGTGCTCCTCCTACTTCAGCCTCCAGAGTGCTGGGATTACGGAGGTATACTATACCCAGTAAATATTTCGCTGTTCTATGAAATATATTGGGCAAGAAAATCAACCTTTATTAATTTAAAGACAAAAGGGGACAGTATGACTACCACATGTGGGGATTGGGTAGTTTTTAATATACGGGAGGGTCCTCCATTTCATAGGCACAATTACATTAAAACTTAGCAAAACTCATTCCTTTGATCTGTGTAACCCCTACCAGTGAGATAGCAAATACTCTGAAATCTCCAAATTCACTAGAAGTGGTTTCTATTTTGATATGAACAGAAGCGAAAAAAGACTGTGTGGTTTCCCTTCTTATCATGGAAACTGGGGAAGGGTATACTGGTCCCCTGAACATTCTAAACATCACCTAGAGTAAGCATTTTTTTCCTAAGTGAAAGCAAATATTTCATTTAAATCAGCTGTCAAATCGCAGTTCACCCGAATGAGCACAACGCAACACTGTTCTTAAAAGAAGGGGCACAAATACGGCACAGACACAGCCTGGCATCTATCAAATGCCATTTGTAAAGGGGACTTTTTGAGGAAGCATTTATCGCGCATCCTTGCTACTCTGTTCTTCTTCCATCCCTCCCTCCTCCCTGCCACCTTTCCTCCTTTCTTTCTGCAGACTTACTGAAACTTTTATTTATTTTTTATTTTTTTATTTTTTGAGATAGGGTCTCACTCTGTGGTTGAGACTAGCCCAGGCTGGTCTTGAACTCACATCGATCCTCCTGCCTCAGCCTCCCAAATGCTGAAATTGCAGCATTTAGAACTAAATTCGATATTTAGAACAGAAAGCATCCAATAGTCTATCTACTCTTTAATTGGAATCTAAGAAGAACACGGCTAGGGTCAAGATGAACAACGATTCCCTGTGAATTCTATGTGCCATTTTTGCAACACTTTTCAGAGCAGAAATAAACACCGAGTTGCCTGGCTGGTGATCATCATTTTCCAACTGACCTCTCAAGTCTCCAGGTCATCTCCCCTCAGCTACCCTTCTAGAAAGCAGAGCCTAAACGCCCTGTTTCTAGCTTCCACACCTCACACACACAGCACACTGAGCTTCACAGTACTCTCCGCTCCTGTGAAAGCCGTTTCCACAGGCGGGCCTCTCTGGTTATGAAAGGACCTATCTTCTCGGTTAAACTGCAAAATCACCTGATGACAGGCACTATGTCACCCTCCTAGGACTCTCCTTATTTTCTCTGAGTGCAGACGCTTTAGGGTAGGGGCTTGGTCACAATGGTCACTGCTGGAACCCAACTGTAGCCCGAGGCCAGAGGCAGGAGTTGGTGTGTGTTGGGTAAACCAGAAAATGCATCTCACAATACACACAGTGAATGCTTGTGGACTGGGACAGAATCCCTCGCAGGGGAGCTGGAGAAAAGAGTTCACATGCCTTCTCCAGAGCACATGAAATAAAGCATCCTAAGGCTACAAATCCACAGGCTCGAGAGCTTTAAGTAGTAATAGGGAATTTCATTCATAGCATCCCTGTCATTGAATCCTCACAATGACCTTGTAGTACATTAGGGTGGATGTCCTGATGCCTGAAAATGGCTTAGACACATAGGCTCAGATGCTAATTCCATCCCAAGCTACATTTGATAGAAACCAGAATTAGTCTCGATCAAAAACTCAGTGAGGATCGTGGCTAAAGTATATGTTGGCAAATATGATGAAAAAACATTGCAAAGAGCAAGAAAAGTTACTAGGAGGAGTGGTCATCAGCCATTAAACATTGAAGATATTTCTTTGCTAGACAAGGCCTCACTCTTGATCCTGCCTCGGCTTCCAGAGTGCAGGGTATTTCAGGCGTGCACCACTGCACTCAGCTCTCGTGCTTATTCCTTACTCTGGAAACACAAAACCCACCCCTTGAGCAAGTGTCAGCAGTGACAGCCACCAGAGGTCATAGGAACAGAGACTGCAGTAGCTCCAAAGAGAAGGTGGTTTTGAGAGAAGAAGCTTCAGGTAACCAAGTCCATATCAGAGCCTCAGGGTGGATGTCACAGGCACTGTGCCTCACCCTGGACATCTGACCATCAGTCTGGTCAGTATCAGGAGAAGCTAAGCTTAGCCAGGGCCCTCTGCTGGGCTCTAATCTCATATGTACTGCCTCATAGTTAAAACCATATTCGCCAACTTAGGAATCACACAGACACCCAAAAAGCTGGAGTGGGATCTGATTCTTACCCAACACCTTCCTCTGCAGAGGTCCTGAGCTTGCCACCCACGGTCCCTTCGCTTAGGACAGTGAGAGACCTCTGTGTTCCTCCCCCAGCAGTGGATACTGCAGACACCACCCCTGTTAGGGTCTCAGAGTTCAGTACAGGAATACGATGTCAATGGCCCATGCCAGAGGTCTGGGAGGTCAATCAGATCTGTCTGTGGCCCCACACAGTTTGTCAAAGTTCTTTGGCCTGGAAGACATTCCCTGTTAGACCCTCAGACAGTGCCCGCTTGTCTCTAGTCTCATTTTCCTTTGCTCTGGTGTGCATCTCACGCAGCCCTTCCAGAATAAGGGCAGGTTCCACCACTGCTTTCCCCAGCAAACCTTGCTCTCATACCGGCTCACTCATCTGGTGAATGATTCTTTAGTTGATGACACCAGAAAGTAGCCTCCATTTTCAATGATCAACATCGTGCCCTCCAGTTTCTCCCCTAGGCTGAATACTCCACAGAAGGGGTCTCTTAAAGACCAGTCACTGCCCTGGGAAACAACATGAGCAGACCATGCAGTGTAGATCTCAGGGCAGCCCTGCATCGGTTTAGGCTGAAAGCTTCATTTACGGTACAGGGAACAGGAGAAATGTGACCTCTATGACAGCCATAAGGAAACAACAGAACAAAGACTGCTGTGGAGGGTGCGAAACATGTTTTAGTTTTTTCCATAAACATGATTATGTTCAAACTAGTCTAACTTTAGACCTAAGGTTTTGAAGGTATTTGAGAGTATGCAGCTTTACTTGGCTAGGTTAATTTTAAAGCAGTGTTTCAAAATCATAGCTATGTGAGATGGCTCTCCATGTTGCAAATGAGGAAAAAGACATCCTACAGAAAAGTTTGGGGAATGGAATTCCAAAGGAGGGGGAAGGGAGGAAGGGACAGAGGGAAGGGGGAGAGGGGAGCGGGGAGAGGGAGAGAGAGGGAGATCCATATCCAGAATAATTCTGTTTTTAGAGCTAATATGTCTGTAAGTCTCTAACACAAAAAGGGAAGTGAAGCATTTCTCAAATTTATTTAACCAGAGAACCTAACTTCATGGAATCCCTATTACTATCTCAAGGAAAACAGTTTGGGAAATGCTACTCTCTAACGAGTATTGGCTAACCAGTTCCCAGGTCTTTGGGCACAAATTCAGCTGATAATTAAGCATGGACACAAAGTTTATGTGCAAGAATATTTACCGTAGCATTTAAAAGATAACTACACCAAGATATCTGCCTACAGGAAATGGTTACATTAAGTTATCTC